AGAGGAAATTGTGTTGCATAATCATGAATTGCACCCACAGCCTTATCTGTACCTCAGCTGGGCTTCACAGGGTTTGCAGACTTTAACTTGAAGCCGTTTCCCAACACTGACACAGAAACTGTTTTTTTCTTCTGTGGTTTTAAAGATCCAAAGATAACTGCTGCTTAGAAAAAGTGAAGTTCCTACATTTTTGTTCCGTCTGAGTTTGTAATCATGGCACTTTTAACTAGGACTTTGGATTTAGAATATACAGAATCTATGTCTTATCTATCTCTTTCTCATCCTAGTGTTAATCCCGCATCAGCAGGGTCCGCTTGTCTCCATTTGATGGTTTGAACTAAATCTTTGAGCTGACATTGCCATTAAATGTGACTGAGAATACTCCAACCGGCACAGTGCTCCGCCTGCCATGGGGGGGGGGGGGAAGGAGAACAAAGTAATGTAGCCAATTCATAGAGGGGGATTATTAGGAGGCAGGGGAAATTTGGCCAGGACGGCAGGGTTACACCCCTACTCTTCTCAAGAGACACCCTGGGATTTTTAATGACCACAGAGATTCATGACCTCGGTTTTACATCTCATCCGAATGACGGAGCTTGTTTTTACCGTCACTATACTGGGGCATTAGGACCAACATGGACCACAGGGTGAGCACTCCCTGCTGGCCTCGTTAACACCTCTTCCAACAGCAACCTTAGTTTTTCCCAGGAGGTCTCCCATCCAGGTACTGACCAGGTTCACACCTGCTTAGCTTCAGTGGGTTGCTAATTGTAAGTTGCGGGGAGACATGACTGCTGGCAGTTTATGGGCCCACTAACTAGTGAATTAAAAAAAAACGGAATTGTTAGATATAACAGACCTCTCTTCAGCTGTAGACTGTTACGCTGCTTCTGCTGTCAGATAGAGTGCAAGTGTGATGATCAGCTGAGGTCCAAGCGCACATCTCAGATCAGGGTGCTGCTTCGGGTTTTTCCAGTTTGGCAGAGAGTGGCTGTGAGGGTGTTAAAGCAGAGAGATGGTGCAGGCAGATAATGAGACTAAGATTGCTCCAGTGGCAGAAAGGCTGCCTGTAAGCTGCAGCAAGAGTGCGGGAGCAAAAATAGCCTGAGTGGAAAGGGCATGAGAGAGCTTTGTGATTGAAGGAAGTACGTGAGCCGCAGCTATATAACCGAATAGCTGAAGCTATATAAAATGTGGCTAAATTTCCAAAATATAAAATATTAAACAAATATTGCAAACACCACAAAACCATGTATTTGGTAGAGTGGTAATCTCTGAAGCAGCCCAGCATGACGCTGCAAAGGTCTGGGGATTAAATATTTTTAGATATCCAATAGGTAAGGTTGGGTAAGTTTTGCCAATGAGTCATTCCCTGAATCACTTTATGAGCACAAGCCAGATTCTACGCCTGCTAGAAGGGTCATTCTGGAAGTCTCAGAGTTATTTAGGGAGAAAATTATACATTTGTATCTGCTTGGAAAGTTAATATTGTTAATTTGTTAGTATTGTTAATATTGTTTGAGATAAAGACACACTATTTGAAGACTTAAGCTAAAGAATTCAATTACATCGATGTATAGATTCAGCAAATCAGACACCAATCAATATCAGGAATAAATGAAAGAATTTCAAATACTTACAAGACGAAAAATCTCAGTATATGCTTTTTTAGGGTGGAGAAGTGTAAATGCTGGTCTTCTAAAAGCTTTCTGGTACTTCTGGAGTTAATATACTGTAGTTTGTGGAAGAGGAGGAGCTTAACCTGTGTGTTTTATTGGATACTTTACATCATATGATTGGAGTACAAAATGCCAAAAATACAAATACAATTGCATTAGTATTGCTTCATGGAAATAAATACAATTAAGTTAAAAAATACTGATATGTTTTATAATTTTAAAATAGACCCCAAAACACAAGGCTCCTTACATTACGCTCACTACACTTCAACTTTTATTTTATCTGTGTTAAATCATTAAATGTTTCAATATATTATGATGGTGTTAATAATTGTGACATGTTTGCGAAGATGTCATGGGTATATTTATAAAACTAATTTTAGATCTGTTTCATATTCTTTTTCACATCACTGAAAGAAAATAAAGATAAAATGACTTCATATGTTTTAACATATGTTGATTACTTTTGAATGTAAACTGCATTTATTACCTTAAACATGCTTTTACTCCAGCTATATATAAATATTTACACTAGTATGTTGCAAATGAAACATCTAGAATAAAAGACATTCTCCTCAAATCAGGAAAAGATTTTTGCCAAAAAAATAACAACTGTTTCCAAAAGCAAAACAATAAAAGCAGGAGTAAACTGCTATAGACATGGATAGACATGCATAGATATCTATGGTAGAAGACATCAATGGAATATCCCATATTATGAAACAAACTCTGTTAGTGTTGTAGAATTATAGCCGAACTGCAACTGAGGTTCTTTAAAGTTTATAATAACTGAAAACCAATAATTCATCAGAGTTTGATAGTATTTTCTTAGTGGTGTCATTTCTGATAGTTATATTTCCATGACATACTTACAGAAATGAGAGATACTATTCAAAACCCTTAGCTAGGTTATTTTCATTTCCACTTAGAAATGGATGGAATTTGCACATAACCATAAGAATTGCAGATTTGTAAATGCTGATCAATCTTGCCACTGTTAAAAATTTGGAAATAAACAGAGGTAAATAAAAAGATTTCTTAGAAGTAGCCAATATGGATTTAGAAAAGGAGACTTCTGTTTAACTTTAATATTATTCTTTGAACAAGCAACAAGAATAGAACGAGAACAGGAAAATTAAATAATTTGATGTTATATACTTAGAGATCCAGAAAGAATACTGTAGTATGAATTATTTAAAAAACATGCACATGTTTGTCTCACATGGCACATCAGTATTCCTAGACCCCCTATTAAAATATTAAACAACAAAATCTATCTTTTGTCTTGATTAAAATCACAATAAAATATGAGAGAACAGCACTCCCTATTCTTAAGTAAAAATCTTATTTAAACAGAAATAATTCTATATTATGTGACAGTGTAACCATAATGATAAGAATTTTTTACACTTTAAAGCTAAAACAAAGACAGAAATGGTTTTAAGTAGAATGACATATTATAAGTTCACAACAGCACTGCCAGACACACTGCCAGCCCAAAGGGTTTATTCAGACATGTTGATGAAAAGCATTTGTAACTAAAACTAGGAGGCACTAATTTATGCAAAGATTTTTTGGAGCTAAAAACAAGACAATTTTCCCTCATTTCTTTCTAGAAACAGCTGGATGACGTTTATACCAAGTATGAGTAAACTGAGTTTTAATAATGGTTAAAAAAAGATTATTAAAAATTATTAGAAAACATAAAGTCCTTTATAAAATTATTAAAAACAACCGGATCCAATACATAATATACTGCAAGGACAAATAAATATGATATTGAAAAAGGTCAAGAGAAACAGGAATATTATAGTGGAGGGTTAAATAAAAATAATACAATAATAAAACAACTCTTTCAGCAGTAAATGTACCATTAAGAATGAATTAAAATATATCCAGGACAAAAATGGGAGACTTCTGGACAATGATTGGAAAATGGCTGATTTAGTATCCATTCTGATGAGGAAAGAAGAAAGAAGGAGTCACGAAGGCTGGGGTCAACAGCATTCTGGCAGTGGAAAGGAAAAGGTTCTCAGTAAATAACATCAGCAGAAGTGTTCTGGGTTCTAGAAGAATCTGGGTTTCACTGGACATTATGAGAAATTCATCCCCAACTTCAGCACATCTTACAGTAAATTGAGAACTACCATATCAAAAATCTTCAAAGACATTGCCAAAGTCAAAACGGTGGCCTTCTTCAGAATAAACAGTGAAACAAGGGACACACGTGGAGACTGAGTGGAAAAGCATTTAAACCTGAGAACAAAAGGCACTTTTTCAGCTAAGTGACCCTGTCACAATTGTCACATTTGTACCATCTGTTCAAAATATAGATCATAATTCTAAATAAGTATTTCAGGGTTAAAAAAAAACTGCATCAAAAATGGAGTAAGTTCGCTGATAGAGAAAAGAGGAAATTGTGTTGCATAATCATGAATTGCACCCACAGCCTTATCTGTACCTCAGCTGGGCTTCACAGGGTTTGCAGACTTTAACTTGAAGCCATTTACCAACACTGACACAGTAACTGGTTGTTTCTTAACTGTGGTTTTAAAGATCCAAAGATAACTGCTACTTAGAAAAAAGTTCCTACATTTTTGTTCTGTCTGAGTTTGTAATCATGGCACTTTTAACTAGGAATTTGGATTTAGAATATACAAAATCTATGTCAAACTGTGAAACTTAAAATTGCTGATCATGTATAGTAAATGACAAACGTGTAATTACGAGTATCCAAAAAACCCCAACAATAAGCCTCTGAAATACATTGTGACTGACACAAGACATCAAAGAGCCAGCAGCATTCCGTCTATAAAAAATGGTTATGGCCGCATCATATTATAAGGATAACTTTCCTCAGCAGAGACTGGGAATTTTGTTAGGATTAAGGACAAAATGGGGGGTTGCAAAGAACAGGCAACTTCTAAAGAAAAACCTGCTTGGCTCACCCAAAATCTAAAACAATCACCTGAAGCACAAGAAAGTGATGAGCATGTTCATTTCAGAAAAGCGATAACATTACATGGAGACAGAGATCAAAGACTTGATTGGTGGTTTCCTAACTATTCAACTGTAGAAGTAAAAGTTTCTTACAGATTGCATCTTCACACAAAATGTACTGTTATGGTGGAAAATGCATGGGTTCCTCATTTATGAAACACGCATTTTCCTTTTTGCTTTTTGTTTTTCCATGGGTTTTTTTTCCCAGTTTTTCGCAAACCTCTCACCCATGCCTCCGCCCCCTCAGATGGGGCGTTGATCTTTACCTCCTCCCACTCCCGCGCTTCTACAGTGGAAAAAGCAGATGGTCTTTATAGGACAATGTCGCTGCTACCCCACCACTCATGCGGAAAATGGATGGTTGGGATTTTCTGTGTTTCACTGGAAACTACGAGACATTCATCCCCAACGACAACACATCCGCCAGCAAATTGAAAATCGTCAAAAGGCATTGTCAAAGTCAACACAGTGGCCTTCTTCAGAATAAATAGTAAAACACCAGTGGGGACTGAGTGGAAATGCATTTGAACCTGAGAACAAAAGGCACTTTTTCAGCTATGCGACCCTGTCACAATTGTCCCACTTTTACCCTTTTTCATTGTTCAAAAATATAAATCATTATTCTAAATAAGTATTTCAGAATTAAAAATAAAGCTCTGCATTACGAATGGCAGAAGTTTGATAATTAAAAAAAACAACTTCATGTTGCATAATCATGAATTGCACCCACAGCCTTATCTATACCTCAGCTGGGCTTCACAGGGTTTGCAGACTTAAACTTGAAGCAAATTGCTTTCTAACATTGACACAGAAACCAAGATAGGTTTACCTGAACTTATTGCAAGCAATGTTTGTTTCTTAACTGTGGTTTAAGAGATCCAAATATAACTGCTGCTGTTTACAGAGCCTTGCAAAAATATTCTCCCTTGTTCCCACAATCTATTTCTGTTAGAGCTTGTAATCATGACAGTTTTCCATAGGACATAGGACATACAGTGATCTATTTAAGATGGCTAACAGCTGCTAACAGTATGTAAAACTTAAGGAAGATTAGAGGCCTCTAAAGTGTATTGTTTTGACACAAGCCAAGAAAAACACCAGCACGATTAAACCAGAAAAGAAAAGTCTTGGTTACATTATATTATCACCTCCATCAGTTAGGCCCAAATAACTTTATAGAGCTTTGTCCAGGAAGAATGGACAAAATTATACATCCATTTTACAAAATTAGAAGCTGTGCTCCCAAAAGTACAGATTCATGCAATCAGTAAATGTTAATTTATAACAATTGCTTACACTTATATAGCACTTTTCTGGACACTCCACTCAATGCGCTTAAAAGGTAATGGGGACTCTCCTCCACCACCATCAGTGTGCAGCCCCACCTGGATGATGTGACGGCAGCCATAGTGCGCTCCCCACAGACCAGCCACAGAAGTGGCTGAGTTTCTAGCCCTGTCACAAGCACAGCCTTCACTTGAAGCAGTCCTTCCCTTTGCTCTCTGTGGTCTGCCTTCTCACAGTCTGGCATTTGGGGTTCACCTCATGCTGCCATGGCCTCACTTCTAACCCACTTCAAATGCAGCACACACCCTTTTTCTTTTTCTTTCCTAGGGCTGCCTTCAAGGTCCCAGCAGAGCTTCCCAATAAAGGTAAGGAGGTTTTATATAAAATAATTCATCAAATGTATCCAGTAAACACCCTTGTTGTGCAGTGACTTAAAATTATTATACAATAGGTGATGACTTTTTTGTGAAAGTAGCCCTTAAACTATTCAACATTTATTTTGGTTGTCCTATGGTAAAAACTTTCTGGATTGATTTTCAAACTTATATTTAAAAAGAGGCCAATATTTATATTATTTTTAAATAAATAGATGCTATGATAAATTTCAAAGACTTTGTAAATAATACATAAAATAATTTGTGATTGACTTAATTATCATAGCGGCACATTATTATATACAGAAAATGAAAGGGCCTGGGAAGAGTCCTACGTTTGAACATTTTAGAATAGATGTAAAGGCATAT